TAATTACGGTTTATTCACTTTGTATCCGGTCTATAGGCCCCTCCCTCATTCCCTCCCAGTCCCACCTTCCCTCTTTCATTTCTTCTGATGATCCTGTCCAAGTCCACTGATAGGGGAGGTCCTTCTCCCCCTATATCTGGGCCTAACTTATCAGGTCTCGTCAGGACTGGATGCCATTGTCCTCTTCTGTGACCTCCATTCCTTTCTATCTCCACCTTCTTTCATAAGATTCCCCTCACTCTGTCCACAGTTTGACTATGAGCCTCAGCATCTTTTTGATACCCTGCTGGGTAGAGTATTTCAGAGGCCTTCCGTGGTAGGCTCCTGTCGTGTTCCCCGTTTTCTCCCGTTTTCCATGTCCATCCCATTTGCCTTTGTGAGTGAGGATTGATCATCTTACCTAGGGTCGTCCTTCTTGCTTAGCTTCTTTAGGTATACAGATTTTAGTATGTTTATCTTATATGATATGTCTAAAATCCACTTATAAGTGAGTACATACAATGTGTGTCTTTCTGTTTCTGGGATACCTCACTCAGGATGATCTTTTCTAGTTCCCGCCATTTGCTGACAAATTTGATGATATCCTTGTTTTTAATTGCTCAGCAGTGTTCCATTGTGTAAATGTACCACAATTTCTGTAACCATTCCTCTCTTGAGGGACATCTGGGTTGTTTCCAGATCCCAGCTATTATGAATAAAGCTGCTTCAAACACAGTTGAGCAAATGTCCTTGTTGTACACTTGAGCATATTTTGGAAATACATACATACATACATACATACATACATACATACATATCTTATAGCTGGCTATTGAGGAAGCACTATTCCTAATTGTTTCAGAAAGCTCCAGATTGATTTCAAAAGTCATTGTACAAGTTTACATCCCCACCAACAATGTAGGAAGCTTCTTCTTTCTCTACATCCTTTCCAGCATGTATTGTCACTTGAGGTTTTGATCTCAGCCATTCTGATGAGTGTAACGTAAAATCTCAGGGTCGATATTATTTGCATTTTTTTGGATACCTAAGGACATGGAGAATTTCTTTAAGTGTTTTCTGCCATTTGATATTCCTATATTGAGAATTCTCTAGCTCTGTACCACATTTTTTAATTAGATTACTTAATTTGAAGCTTTTAATCTTCTTGGGTTTGTACCATTTTCTGGATATTAGCCCTCTGTCAGATATAGAGTTGGTGAAGATGCTTTCCAAGTCTGTAGGCTATCATTTTGTTCTGATATCATCATTCTTTCCTTTACAGAAGATTTTCAGTTTCATGAGGTCGCATTTATTGATTGCTGATTTTAGAACCTGTGCTGTTGGTGTTCTGTCCAGGAAGTTGTCCCCAATGCCAATGAGGTCAAGGCTCTTCCTCAATTTTTCTTCTAACAGATTTAGTGTTTCTGGTTTTATGTTGAGGTCTTTGACCCAGTTGGTTTTTAGTTTTGTTGAGGATGATAAATTGGATCTAGTTGCATTTTCTACATGTAGACATATAGTTAGACCAGCAACATTTATTGAAAATGCTGTCTTTGTCCAGATTGTTATAGCAATTCTGTTTTGTTGTTGTTGTTGTTGTTGTTTTCTATGTGAAATTGAGAATTGTACTTTCAAAGTCTATAAAGAATTATGTTGGTATTTTGATGAGAATTGGATTGAATCTGTAGATTGTTTTTGGCAGGATAGCCATTTTCATTATCTTAATCCTACCAATCCATGAGCATGGAAAATCTTTCCATCTTCTGAAATCTTCAATTTCTGTCTTCAGAGGCTTAAAATTTTTTGAACAGGTCTTTTACTTGCTTGGTTAGAATCACACCAAGAATTTTCTTTTATTAATGGCTATTGTGAAGGTTGCAATTTTCCTAATTTCTTTCTCAAACATTTTGACTTTTGAATAGAGGAGAGCTACTTATTTTTTTTTAATTAATTTTGTATCCAAACACTTTGCCGAGGGTGTTTACCAGATGAAGGAGTTCTCTGGTTGAAGTTTTGGGGTCACTCATGTATACTGTCATATCATCTGCAAATAGCGATATTTTGAGTTCTTCCTTTCCAATTTGAATCATGTTGATCTCCTTTAGTTTTCATATTGCTCTAGATAGGACTTCAAGTACTATGTTGAAGAGATAAGGAGAGAGTGGGTATCCTGGATTTGTCCCTGACTTCAGTGAAATTGATTTAAGTTTCTCTCTGTTTGGTTTGTTGTTGGCTATATCCTTGCTGTATATTGTCTTTACTATGTTTAGGTATGTGCCTTTTATCCCTGATCTCTCCAAGACATTAAACATGAATGGGTTTTGGATTTTGTCAAATGCTTTTATAGCATCTAAGGAGATGCTTATTTTATTTTTCTTCTTCAGTTTGTTTATATTGTGGATTACATTGATGGATTTCCATATTTTGAACCACCCCTGCATGCTTAGGATGAAGCCTACTTGGTCATGGTGGATGGTATGTTTTATGAATTCTTGGATTCAGTTTGCAAGTATTTATTGAATATTTTTACATCAATGTTTATAAAAGAGATAGGTCTGAAGTTATATTTTTGTTGGGTCTTTGTGTAGTTTAGGTATCAAGGTTATTGTGGCTTCATAGAATGAGTTTGGTAGTGTTCCTTCTGTTTCTAATTTGTGAAATAGTTTGAAGAGAATTGGAGTTAGCTCTTCTTTGAAGGTCTGGTAGAATTCTGCATTAAAAAAATCTGGCTTTTTTATTTTTTGGAAGGGAAACTTTTAATGACTGCTTCTATTTCCTTGGGAGATATAGGATTATTTAATCTATTTTCCAGCTCTTGATTTAATTTTGGTAAATGGAATATATCAAGAAATTTGTCCATTTCATTTAGATTTTCAAAATTTGTGGCATGTAGGCCTTTGCAGTAAGACATAATGATTGTTTGGTTTCCTCAGTGTCTGTTGTTATGTTCCCCCTTTCATTTCTGATTTTGCTGATTTGGATAGTTTATCTCTGCCTTTTAGTTAGATTGGCTAAGGGTTTGTCTATCTTTTTGAGTTTCTCAGTGAACCTGTTCTTGGTCTCATTGATTCTTTGAATTGTTTTATTTGTTTCTAATTCATTGATTTCAGATCTGAGTTTGATTATTTCCAGTCGTCTACTCCACTTTGGTGTGTTTGCTTCTTTTTCTCTAGGGATTTTAGGTATACTGATAATTTGCTTTTATGAGATGTCTCAAACTTCTTTCTGGAAGCACTTAGTAGTATGAACTTTCCTCTTAAGTTTGTGTCCTATTAGTTTGGGTAAGTTATGACTTCATTTTCATTGAATGTTAGGAAGTCTCTATTTTTTTTTCATTTCTTCCCTTACCAAGCTCTCATTGAGTATAGATTTCTTTCCATGTGTATGTAGTCTTTATGTCATTTTTGTTGTTGTTGAGATATAGTTTTAGGCCACGGTGTTCTGATAGGAAGCAATGGATTTTTTTTCAGTTTTCTTATATCTACTGATGCTTGCTTTGTGACCGACTATATGGTCAGTTTTTGAGGTGGTTCCATGAGGTCCTGAAAAGAAGGTTACACTTTTGAGTTTGGGTGAAAAAATCTGTAGACATTTATTAGGTCCATTTATATTAGGTCCATAGTCATCTAGGTCCGTTTACTTTAATAACCATTGGAAGTTTCATCATCTCCCTACTCTAGATGATCTGTCCCTTGGTGAGAGTTTCGGAATGTTGAAGTCTCCCACTATTAAGGTATTGGTTTGAGTTGTGAATTAAGCTTTAGTAATGTTACATTTACAAATGCAGGTCATCTTGTATATGGGGCATAGATGTTCATAACTGTGATGTTCTCCTGGTGGATTTTTCTTTTGATGAGAATGAAGTGCCCCTTCTCAACTCTTTGATTAATTTTGGTCAAAAGCGTACTTTATTCGATATTAAGATTGCTATTGCAGCTTGTTTTCTGGGTCCATTTACTTGAAAAACACTTTCCAGCCCTTTACTCTGAGGTAGTTTTTATTTTTGTTTCACAGGTGTGTTTCCTGAATGGAGCAGAATGCTGGATCCTATTTCTGCAACTTTTCTGTTAGTCTATGTCATTTTGTTGTATAATTTAGTCCATTTTAATGTTGATAGATAATAGTGACAAATGAATGTTAGTTCCTTTTATTGTGGAGTTGGAGGTGTTACTGTGTTTCAATGTTTGTTTTCTTTTAATTCTTTATTGTGAAGTTATCTACATCTTGTGTTTTCTTGGGTGTAGTTGATTTATTTGGATTGGAATTTTCCTCCTAGTATCTTTTGTAGGGCTGGGTTGCTGTGTAGATAATGTTTAAGTTTCATTTTATCATGGAATATTTTTTTTTCCATCTATGTTGATTCAAAGGTTTGCTGGCTATAGTAGTCTGGGTTGGCATCTGTGGACTCTTAGATTCTGTATGACATCTGCCCAGGTTCCTCTGTCTTTCATAGTTTCTGTTGAGAATTCTGGTGTGATTCTGATAGGTCTAAATTTCTATGTTACTTGGCTTTTTTTCCCTTGCTGCTTTTAATAATTTTTCTTTGTTCTGTAGGTTTAGTGTTTTGACTATCATGTGACACAAAGAGTTTCTTTTCTGGTCTAGTCTATTTGGTATTCTACATTCCTTATATATGTTTATTGGACATCTCTTTCTTTAATTTGGGGAAATTTTCTTCTGTGATTTTTTTTTTTGAAAATATTTTTTGGACCTTGGAGCCCAGCGTCTTCTTTTTCATCTCTTCCTATTATTCTTGCATTTTGTCCTTTCATGATGGCCTTGATTTCTTGGATGTTATCTGTTTGGAACTTTTTCTAGTTTGCTCTTTCTTTGAGAGATGCACTGATTTCTCTAATTGTATGTTATGCACCTGAGAGTCTCTCATCCATCTCTTGTATTCTGTTGGTGATGCTTACCTTTGTGTTTCTGGATCTTTTCTCTTAAGTTCTACAGCTATAGGGTTTTCTCTGTTTGTGCTTTCTTTATTGATTCTAATTCTGTTTTCATGTCTTGCACCATTTAAAAATATGGAACACTTTATGAATTTGTTTGTCATCCTTTTCGAGGGGCCATGCTCAGATATCTTCTCTGTACTTTTCCAATTTCAGTATATGTGCTGCCGAAGAGAGCATGAGATAGCATTTTTAAGCTTTATTTTTATTTTATTTCTATGAGTGTTTGCCTGCATGTTTCTGAGTGCAGTAGCAACAAAGGCCAGCTATGTCGGTACCTGGAATGACAATTAATGGTTAGTCACCATGTGGTTTCTGGAGATGGAACTTGTGTCTTCAGTAATGACACCCATTTCTTCTAAATGCTGAGCATTAACTCTAGCCCCTTTTGAATTTAAAAATATTTTTCTTCATTTTAATTAGAATATATTACATTGCTTTCCCCCTTTTTTCTCCTCTCTCCATCCCTCTGTATTCTTCTAAGGCAATTTATTTCATGTTCATTGTGTGTTAATAACTATGCTCAAATTTATAAATAAAACTTGCTGAGGCTGGAGAGATGGCTCAGAGATTAAGAGGATTGGTTGTTCTACTAAAGGTACCGAGTTCAATTCCCAACAACCACATGGAGGCTCATAACCTTCTATAATGAGGTCTGCTGCCTTCTTCTGGCCTACAAGGACACATGCAGGCAGAAGACTGCATACATAAGAAATAAAACTAAGGAGGACATAACTACAGACACTGAGAAAATCCAAACAATCATTAGGACTTACTTCAAAAATCTATATGCCACAAAATTTGAAAATCTAAATGAAATGGACAATTTTATTGATAGATTTGACTTACCAAAGCTGAATCAGGACCAGGTAAATCAATTAAATAGTCCTATATCCCCCAAAGAAATAGAAGTGGTCATCAAAAGTCTCCCATCCAAAAAAAAGCCCAGGACCAGATGGCTTCAGCGCAGAATTCTACCAGACCTTCAAGGAAGAGCTAACTCCAATTCTCATCAAACTATTCCACAAAATAGAAACAGAAGGAATATTACCAAACTCATTATATGAAGGCACAGTCACCTTGGTACCTAAACCTCACAAAGACTCAACAAAGAAATAGAATTTCAGGCCAATCCCCCTTATAAACTTTGATTCAAAAATACTTAACAAAATACTTGCAAACCGAATACAAGAACACATCAAAGATATTGTTTACTATGACCAAGTAGGCTTCATCCCAGGTATGCAGGGGTGGTTCAATATGTGGAAATCCATCAATGTGATCCACCATATTAACAAACTGAAAGAAAAAAAAAACACATGACAATCTCCCTAGATGCTGAAAAAGCATTTGACAAAATCCAACATACATCCATGTTTAAAGAATTGGAGAGATCAGGGATACAAGGCACATATCAAAACATAGTAAAGGCGATATACAGCAAGCCTATAGCCAACATCAAACTAAACGGAGAGAAACTTAAAGCAATCCCACTGAAATCAGGGACAAGACAAGGGTGCCCACTCTCTCCATATCTCGTCAACATAGTTCTGGAAGTCCTTGCTAGAGCAATAAGAGAGTTGAAGGAGATCAAGGGGATACAGATGGGAAAGGAAGAAGTCAAATTATCACTATTTGCAGATTATATGATAGTATACATGAGTGACCCCAAAAACTCTACCAGGGAACTCCTACAGCTGATAAACACCTTCAGCAAAGTGGCCATATACAAAATCAACTAAAAAAAATCAGTAGCTCTCCTGTATACAAAAGACAAAAGGGCTGAGAAAGAAATTAGAGAAACAACACCCTTCACAATAGCCAAAAGTGACATAAATTACCTTGGTGTAACCCTAATCAAGCAAGTCAAACACTTGTATAAAAAAAAAAATTCAAGTCTCTTAAGAAAGAATTAGAAGAAGATATCAGAAGATGGAAAGATCTCCCATGCTCATGGCTTGGCGGGCTTAACATAGTAAAAATGGCCATCTTACCAAAAGCAATCTACAGATTTAATGCAATTCCCATCAAATTGCCAACACAATTCTTTACAGACCTGGAAAGAAAAATTCTCAACATCATATGGAATAACAAGAAATCCAGAATTGCTAAAACAATCCTCTACAATAAAAGATCTTCTGGAGGTATCTCCATCCCTGATCTCAAGCTGTACTATAGAGCAACAGTTATAAAAAATGCATGGTACTGGCATAGAAACAGAATGGTGGATCAATGGAACCGAACAGAAGACACAGAAATATACCCACACACTTATGGACACCTGATTTTTGACAAAGATGCCAAAACCATACAATGGAAAAAAGATAGCATCTTCAACAAATGGTGCTGGTCCAACTGGATGTCTACATGTAGAAAAATGAAAATAGATCCATACTTATCACCCTGCACAAAACTGAAGTCCAAGTGGATCAGAGACCTCAACATGAAAACAGACATATTATATCGTATAGAAAAAAAAGTGGGGAATACCCTAGAACTCATTGGTACAGGAGAAAATTTCCTGAACAGAACACCAACAGCACAGGCTCTAAGAGCAACAATCAATAAATGGGACCTCATGAAATTGAAAAGCTTCTGTAAATCAAAAGACACCATCATCAAAACAAAACGACTGCCTACAGATTGGGAAAGAATCATCACCAACCCTTTATCTGACAGAGGACTCATATCCAGTATATATAAAGAACAAAAGAAGCTGAAAAGCAGCAAACCAAGTAATACACTTAAAAAATGGGGAACAGAGCTAAAGAGAGAATTCTCTGTAGAGGAATCTCGAATGGCAGAGAAGCACTTAAAGAAATACTCAACCTCATTAGCCATTAGGGAAATGCAAATCAAAACAACCCTGAGATTTCACCTTACAACCATTAGAATGGCCAAGATCAAAAACTGAAATGAGAACACATGCTGAAGAGGTTGTGGAGAAAGGGGAACCCTTCTCCACTGCTGGTGGGATTGTAAACTGGTACAACCACTCTGGAAATCAATCTGGTGCTTTCTCCGACAACTAGGAATAGAGCTTCCTCAAGATCCAGCCATACCACTCCTAGGCATATACCCAAAAGAGGCTCAAGTACACAAAAAGGACATTTGCTCAACCATGTTTGTAGCAGCTTTATTTGTAATAGCCAGAAGCTGGAAAGAGCCCAGCTGCCCCTCAACTGAAGAATGGATGCAGAAAGTTTGGTACATCTATACAATGGAGTATTACTCAGCAATGAAAAATAAGGAAATCATGAAATTTGCAGGTAAATGGTAGGACCTGGAAAGGATCATCCTGAGTGAGTTGTCCCAGAAGCAAAAAGACACACATGGTATATACTCACTCATATAAACATACAACATAGAATAAACCCACTAAATTTCGTACATCTATACAAACTAAGCAAAACAGAGGACCCTAACAAAAAATGCTCAATCCCCATCCTGAAAGGCAAATAGGATGGCCATCAGAAGAAAAAGAAAACAGGAAACAACCTAGGAACCTTCTACAGAGGGCCTCTGAAAGCCAGAAGAAGAAAACAGGAAACAATCTCGGAACCTGTCCTGATCCGCAGGACCTAGTTATTCATGGGGACGAGGGGGGGTCACAGCCTGTAAAAGACGAGTGGGAGAAAGAAAAGACTCAAGCAAATGTGCACTTGTCAAGAGTCAAATTTTATTGAACCGGAGCAGGCTTTTAAGGCCAACCCTAGATAGGGGCGGGGCGAGGGAGGAGCACAGTGTAGAATCCTTTTTACTCAGGGAGGGGTAGGGTAAAAAAGCACACTATAGAACATTATTACTCAGGGAGGGGCAGGGTGGAAAAGTGCACTGTAGAATCTTCTTGGCCTGGGGCCTGGAACACTTTGCGGTTATTTTAAGACAGCACATTTCTGCAACTGTCAAGCAGGATGTTAGTCAACCAGGGGCAGCAGGGTGGGGGGAATGAGAAAAGGTCGGAAGTTTCTCAGGGCTTGTCTCCAACATCTCCCCCTTCTCTGTATACACGAACAGGGATAGGGAGGTTACCATGACCCGCTAATGGTGTCCCAAAGAAGGGCTCATTTTGGCAGCCAATTATTTTTGTTTAATAGTAAAATTTTGGATCCAAAGGGGCAAACCGTCATCAGAGAGGTGAGTGTTCCCCAGAGTAGGTCAAGCGTTGTCACTCATAGGCCATTGGTCTTGACAAGGCCATTTAGATTGACCACAGTACGAGGGGCACAAACGGGATCTGAGCCTGTTAGAAGGGCAGTGCTGGACCCTTACCGGTCATTGGATCAGCCTCCCCCCCGGCGAGTTCGTCCTGTCTTAGGCGGGCCTAGACTGATCCACCCGTTCTGTCTCTGACTTATCAGACCACTCACTTTGTGGAAATGTAACGCATCTTGTTCTCAATAAGACCTTCAAAGCTCCATAAGGATCCTGGAAGGAATATGTTTAGTAGCCAAATAGTATATGAGGGGTCACAGAAACCTGAGTTATTATTTGGAGGGGTGGGACCAGAATTTCCACCCCCGGGTTGATTTTTGTAGGGAGGTGAAGTCTAAGGGTCGAGATGTGGGGTTGTTTTCGTCCTTTGGCAGGTCAACGGTAGACTCTTCTTCTGTGGCGAGGCGATGGTAATGGACTCCCACTGGCTTGATTGCAGAATCCACCTGACTCTTAACAAAGCTTGTCAATCGATTAAAGGCCCAGGGGCCAAAAGAGAGAAGTAAAAGGATACCTACAAAAGGTCCTAGCAGACTGGGAAGCAGAGTGGTTAGCCATGGGGATGTGGAAAACCAATTTTTATGCCAAGATTCTTGTTGTTCTCGAGCGCTCTTTCTATCCTCTAGATTTCTTTTAACCTTATCAAGGCTGTTTTGTATCAGTCTAGTCTTATCTAAGTAGAAACAGCATTCTTCCTTGAGAGCTACGCAGAGTCCCCCTTCTTTAAGGAAGACTAGATCCAGATCTCTTCGATTTTGGAGTACTACTTCAGCAAGGGAAGCCACTGAGTCTTTAAGGTCCTGTATTCCTTCATGTAAACTACTAATATCTCTATCGACCAGGGCACTGAGATGTGAGAAGTGCTGCTGGGAAGTGACTAAAGAGGCAATACCTGTCCCGGCTCCTGCAGCACTAAGTCCCAGGAGCACAGTTAGGGTAATGGCAGTTAGAGGTTCTCTCCTCTG